CATGTACAAAAAGCTTTGTTTCCACTTTTTCCTTCTATTTTCACTACTTTTTCATTTCTCTTCCTTTCTTTTGCCCTCCCTCTTCTACTGTTCCCCTCCCCATTGGAACATTTTCTTCCCATTTCCCAATATCTATATTCTTGTGGGGTTTATTTGCCTTTTCCTGATTAGAAATGATGTGTGACTTCCACTCATGACTGGCCAGTCGTGTGTCTTTGTGAAAAGCTGGTTCCTATATTTATCCACTTGTTCCAACAGATCTGCTGAGAAAACTTTCTTTTGTGATGGACATCCCCCGGTGCCTCTGTCGAACTTAACTGACTGTGTATATGTGGGTTCTCTTGCTCTACTAATCTATTTGTGTATCCTTGTGTTAATGCTACACTCCCTATATGACAATGGTCTTGCAAATCTTTGTGCCAAGCAGTGAGAACACACTTTCTGGTCCTGTGTGAGACTGTGCAGGCTGTTCAAAGTCCCTTGCTTTTCCAAGTTTCAGCATGATCTTGTAAACTCTACCAAAAAACCTACTGCGGTTGACTGGGAATGCACTTAATCCATAGATCAACTTAGGAGACCTGACTTCTTAATATCGAGACTTCTAAATCAAAAGCATAGCATATTAAAGCTTTCTGTTTTATGCTTCTTCTTTTCTGTTTCTATGTATTTCCCACCCTCATCAAGATACATTTGTATATGACAAAGTGTACACATGTACCTGATATACTGTCTTTTTAAATAAAAATACAAGAATAATGAATGCACCTTTCCTTGGCCAACACCTTCTACCAGTCACACCCCCCACCACAGTCATCCCTCTGTATCCATGAGGAATTAGCTCCAAAAGGTTGGGTACTAAACCCACAGTTGGTCAAGTCTCTCATGGAAAATGCTGTGTTGTATGCATAGAACCCATCCATGCCCTCCCGCAAGCACACTTTACATCAGCTCTGGGTTACATACAAACTGAATGCAATGTCCATGTTATGCAAATAGCCATTAGACTGTATTGCTGAGGGAGCAACGGTGAGGGGAAAGCATGTCCCTGTCCAGTGCAGATTCAATATCCCCAAACACATTCTTTCTGCCTCGCGGTTGTCTGAGTCTAGAGATGCGGGTCCTGATTACAGAAGCCTCATATGGGCCCATAAGCGTTTCAATGATCCATGCTCTCAGGGAGCAAGATAGAGCTTCAAGGTCTATCTATAGCTTTCAATTTTTTGAAAAACCATGTAAATACTCAAATTTTCTTTATTTTCCACCTTCTAGCATCTTATTCTCTAGAAATTCTATATGTGCCACAGCTTTCAATCAGTCAAGGTACAAAATGCAAGAGATAACCTGATTGTGTGATGTCTCTCGGAGTTTAGTGAAAATATCTGCACGACTGATTCTGAAAGGCTGACTTCTTAAAACAAAATTGAAATTGTTTTGGGTGAAATAAACATGGACAAAAGAAGAGCTGGCATCACCTCTGTGTCCAAGTCAGAGCTGCGCTCACACTCTCACTGCTGTTGGCTGTGCGTCTGGCTTCCTGCTCTGACGACCCAACCGGCCTCGACTGGCACCTGACCCACGGACTTGGCCCGTTCAGGCTACATGCAGCCCCATACAGCAGGGAGCTCTGAGAGGTGTTTGGAATGACACTAGAGATACTCAGAGTTACATGAATGTCTCTCCTTCCCATTACAATTTCAACTGACATAATTGATATAAAAGCATTTGAATTAAAACTCAGTTAAGTACTTTACCTATATAAAATGACTGTTTCAATTCACTTATTAAATGCCTTCAAATATATATACTAAATTAAGTTTATATACCTTTTGTATAGGAAAAAAATTAAAAGATACTTAAGAAAAAAGTTTAAAAGATTATTTTCTGTAATATGCTAAAGATGTGAAATTTCATGTATACTAGAAAGTGGAGACCAAAAATATCAATTTAGACAAAATTTATAGAATGCAAATACAGCTCTTGATAATCATGGATAACCCAACAAGTAAGATCTTAATGACAGTTAGTTGTATGACTCAGAACTAATCAGAAGAATCTTCAGAGACAAACACACAGATGAAGAGGTCGCAATAGTCTAAAGGGCCAACTGCTGGGCTGACAACACAGCGATGGCTATAACGGGTATTTTTTCTTAATCTTGAAATTAATCAACTGGATTGTTTTTAATTGCTGCATACAGTATGGTAAGATAAATTGATTCTAACTACAGCAACAAGTAATCAGTTACCTACTGATTTGCAAAATTCTGTTTTTGGAGATGAAAATTCAAGATAACACTAAAGTTGTTAATTAAAGTTATTTTGGGAGATTAATAGTCAAACTATTCTGATTATTTGCATTACATGAGGCCTCAAGTCAACTGTAAACAATCTCAAAATCACTAAATGACTGCAGACTGAGGTTCAGTTGTAATCATGAAGTCAAAGCTACACAAAGAACAGAACTGAATGGTTTGTAAAAATGAAACGAGCACAGACAACTTCTTCGTGTTTCTGGGATCTGAGAGAGTAAATCGATTGCTCCTATTACAGTGTCAAGTGCCATTTGCTTAATGAAAGGAAGTTTATCTTAAAAGGAAGAAAGCTAGGTTAAAAATGTTCATACCATTCAATATCACACAGCCAGCAGAGTCCTAATTTAGTATAAAAATGATCCCAGGTTAAACATTATAATTAAGGTAAATATTTTTAGACTGTAATATAAGTCAGTCACATTAAAGGCTTATGCTAGTTCAATACCACAGTTGAAAAAAATATGAAGATAAGAGAAAGGATGTGGGGATGCTGAAAGTGCATTGGCCCAGAGGCTGGAAAGCTGTCTGTCATCTAAATGGAACCCAGGATCCATAAGGGCCTGGCATCACCACACACACCCTGTTCCTGGCTGCTTGTGCACAGGGTCCAGGAGCCCTAGCACCTGAGCGCCATGACCCAACACTCGCCAGGGAGCTCAGACTTCATGGAAGACCCGCACGCCACTGCAGCAGGAAACTGCCCCTGCTGGGACATCTAGGAAGCCTCACTGCTTGTGGAAAACAGCAGCACGGCCTGGGCAGTGAGCAGGGCAGCCGTCTTCCGCACCGGCAGTAAGTAAACCCAGAGCACTCCATGTAGATGGGCAGAGCTGGAGCTCAGGGAGAGCCAAGTTTACTCACTGATTCTAAAAGGCTGCAGGAGCCCCTAATGCAGCTCTGTGAGTAACCTGCCTGCACAGAAACATCAGAAGTCATTTAAGGACCATGGATGCATACCCAACAAGGTGAGAATCATTCAATGCCAAGAGCGAAGGTCAGGCAGGCCAATCACGGAGGGAAACAGTAATTTCAGCAAACTTCATTTATCACTGGAGAATCCATCACTTTTTGCCTGGTGATGGCTAATATGTTTGATAACTTGATAGCTACATTTTAATTGAAACACTACTGCTCATACAGCTGTCATGTGAGAATTCACAGAAGGCAGGAAAATGAGTGCTGAAATGCTCATTTCATTTCAATTCAATGAATGTGAATATTCACTGTGTACAATTTACCAAAAGGTGAGTGAGAATAATAATGGAAACAAAGACATTATATGATTTACTTTCCTACTGAAATAAATTTTAAGAAAAATCACTGCAAAAGCATATAACAAATGCTTGGAAGATAAAACGAGGCACAACCTATGACTTCACTCACAAAGCTGCATAAGTGTCTTCTGAGGCGGGCCAGGCCTTGCTCAACACTGGGAGCTGTCCAGCAAGGAAGCAGCAAAGGACAACACAGGCCATGCGCACAGAAGGCAGGACAAGGATGGGGCAGTGCCAACCTCACCTGCAGGCTGGGGGTGCTTCCTGGAGGGGAATGGTGAAGGGTTTGCAAGCACAGGTGAGTACAAGGAGCCTAGCACTCTGGGCAGGAGAAAGAGGGAGAGAGAGATGAGTGGGACAGGCCATGAAGAGCTCAAAGTAGGGGCAAGCAGATCAGTGTGCATCTCAGGACAGAAAACAGCCACATAAAATATCATTAAATTAATTTAATGATTCTGGTTTTGGCATCACTATATATGAACACTATGCAATAAAAACAAGAGGAGTTTAAGTAGTAAACAACTTTATCACCAGCTAATAAATGCATTGTACGATAAAACCAAAATAAAACAATATATGTTAAACAACATTATACAATAAAAACCAAGTGAAGTGAATCAGTTAAAGGACCAAAGAAAAAGGCAAACCTATCAACAACTTACTGGTACATCTACAGATAACCTATGCCTAATATAAATACAGACACTTCTACATAACATCACTTGTATTTAACAGGCAGCTTGGATTTATGTATTCTGCATTATTTCATAAAAGAAGATAACTATTTGATCAAAGTGCTTATTTGATTCCAAAAGCTATAGTTATTTTAAAATACACATTATAGAGTGATGTGAGTGCCTTTCAACTGAAAGCACAAAGATGATACCGGGATGGTGTCAGCCACCCTTCTGTGCTCCATTTTCTCTTCCTAATTACCGTAATAATCTTACAACTACACATTTTCCTTCTATCCTTTTTAATATCAATAATTACATCTTATACAAAAGTGACCAGATTTCTTAAATAGACTTTTTGATAATGGTCACAAGATCACTGCATGAAACTGTCACTCACATTCTCTTATATTTATGCAAAAAAGATATATCACAGGAAGCAAGTATGCATTACCAAAATGATCAATGATAAAGAAATAATTAGTGGTTCTCTGAATTACTGAATAACTAAGCCACTAAGTATCAATAATAAAAGGTACACTAAATCCAACTATCCAAAAAAAGTGTTTAAGTGAATAAGAAGCAAAAGGAAATCTAATTTCCCTCCCTCAGTAAGAATGAGGAAACTATGAATACCAAGAGAAGCAGTAAGCACGTACTAACTTGTAAAAGCATACTCACATTGATCGCTGTAGGTGTACCACAAAACTCTCAGAAAACCCCACTGACTTGGTTACCTACCTGTGGGAGGCAGGCAGTCTTTCCAATCGAAGTAGCCGGCATAAATCCCAGGTTCCAAGGAGCCAACAATGGGATCTGCTTTCAGTTCAATGTAGTTCTCAAAGAGTCTTTGGTCAAGTTCTTTCAGTGAGGCCATGCTAACCTAGAAACACAGAAGACTATGAGCTGCCCAGGTGAGGGTGAAGGAAAAAGTAAAATAATGAAACAGTTCCTAAAGCTAAAAAATAATGCCACTACAACATACCCGAACTTATGGGACACAATGATTGCAGTCCTAAGAGGGAAGTTTACAGCTGTGAATGCCCACATCACAACAGTGAGCCCAAATAAATAACATAATGATGCACTTCAAGGTTCTAGAAACAAAAACAATCCAAACCCAGAGCTAGTACAAGGAAGGAAATCATAAAGATCAGAGAAGAAATCAACTGAGACTAAAAAAACAATACAAAGAATCAGTGAATCAAAGAGCTCGTTGAACAAAAAATATATATAACTAAATAAAGCAGACAAACCCTTAGACAATCTTACCAAAAACAGGAAAGAAAAGATCCAAATCAACACAGTTAGACATGAAAAAGGTGAAATCACAATGCACAATATTGAAATCTAGATTATTAACAATTACTCTGCAAACCTGTGCACCAATAAATTGGAATACAGAAGAGTCTTAGATACATATGAATTATCAAAACTGAATGAAGATATAAAACCTCCAATAATCCAATAAATAATCCAATGAAATAAAAGGTGTAATTTAAAAAAACTACAAATTAAGGAAAGCCAAGAGCTGGATGAATCCTACTTCAGGGGGGATCTACCATGAATACTCCTCAGGCTTTTTAAAGAAATTGAAAGGGAAGCAGGACTCCCAAAGTTATTCTTAGAAGTTACCATTACTCTGATTCCAAAAGCAGAAAAAGGATCCAACCAAAAAAAGCACTAGAGTAATCTCTTTAATGAATATCACTGCAAAAATCCTCCACAAGATACCTGCAAACAGAAGGTATGAGTCATAAAATTAAATGCAGAAAAACTGAAAGCTTCCCCTCTAAAATCAGGAAGGAGACAAGGATGTCTGTTGTCCCCACTCCCGCTCAACACAGTGCTAGAAACATTATCAAGAGCGATCAGGCAAGAAAAGAAATAAGGATATTAAAGGAAGAAGTCAAATTGTCATCTGCAGATGACATGATCCTCTACATAGAAGATCCAAAAAATCTACTACAGACTCCTAGAATTAGTGACCACATTCAGCAATGTAGTAGAATACATTTATACACTAAGAATGAACCACAGGAAAAGGTATTAGGGGGAAAAAGACACCATTTATAATAACACCAAGAAAAATTAAACACAAAGGAACTAAACTAAGGGAATAAAAGACCTCTACAGTGAAAAGTACAGTGCCCTGAAAAAGGTGATCAAAGCGGGCAATAGAAATCGAAAACAATATCCCCTATTCTGGAGAGGCAGAATTAATATAATCAGAATGTCCATATTTTCAAGACTTAATGCACTCTCAATCAAAACACCAACTGCATTTCACAGAACTGGGGAAAACAATCCTAAAATTCATATGGAGCCAGAAGACTCAGAACAGCAGAAGCAAAGCTGAACAATTAGAGCAAAGTGGGAAGCATCACAACCTCAGATCTGAAGTTATCTTACAAAGCTAAAATGATGAAAGAACACAACACTGGTACAAAAGCAGGCACAGATCCACGGAACAGAATGGAGGATGCAGGAACAACCCCAGGCACACACAACTGATCTTTGACAAAGGAGCTAAAAACACACATGGGTAGCTTCTATAACAAATGATGCTAAGAAACTGGCTTTCCATATGCAGAAGATTGATTCTAGGCCCATACCTCTCATCATGTACCAAACTAAAATAAAAATGGATCAAAGATCTAAATGTTAAAACAGAAACTCTGAACCTGTTGGAAGACAAAATAGGTAAAACCCTTGAAGTCACAGGCATAGACAAGGACTTTGTGAACAAAGCACAGATTGCACAGAAAACAGTACCAAGAATCAACAAATGGAGTCATATCAAATAAAAAAGCTTCTGCACAACAAAGAAAATAACCAACAGTGAAGAGACAACCTACAGAATGGGAAAGAATTTTTGCCTGCTATTTCTCAGAGAGAGGACTAATATCTAAAATACATAAAGGACTTAAAAAAATTAGACTCTCCAAAGAACCAGTCAAAAAAATGGGCAACTGAAATGAACAGACACTTCTCAGAAGTACAAATGGCCAATAATACACAAAGAAATGCTCAACGTCACTAGCCATTAGAGAAATGCAAACCAAAATAACATTCAGGTTCTATCTTACTTCAGAAAGAATGGCTGGTATCATCAAGAAATTCAATAATAACAAATGCTGGCAAAGCTGTGCAGGAAAAGGAGCCCATCTGTACTGGTATGAATGCAAACTAGTTCAACCACTATGGTGCTCAGCATTGGGAGTTCTCAGAAAACTAAAACTAGAAATTCCATTTGATCCACTTATTCCCCTTCTAGGTTCTTCAAAGAGGTAAAAACATTATATGGCAGTGAAATATACATATCCATGTTTTTACCAGTACAACTCATAATAGCTTAATCTTGGAAGTAGTCTATACGTCCATCAACAGATGAATGGATAAAGAAAATGTGGTACTTATACACAATGGAGTACTATTCTGCCACAAAGATGGATAAATCTGAGTTACTTGTAGGAAAACAGATGTACTCAATCCATGTTAAGTGAAATAAATCACACAAGCTTAAATACCGTATGTTTTCTCTCACAAAAGAAACCAAAAGTATAAATAAATTAAACAGCAAAATAAAAGATACATAATAGGAAACAGGGAGGGTATTTTCAAATGGGAAAGGGATCAAAAGGTATCAGGAGGCTAGGGATTTAGCTCAATGGCAACACGCCTGCCCCACCAGCACAAGTTCCTGAGTTCAATCCCTGGTGCCAATTTTAAAAAAAATGTCAGGAGGGAACAGCAGGGGAAAGGGGACTGCAAAGAACTCTGAAGTCATGCTGTGTACATGGACCAAGTGCCCACGATGAATATTTTCTCTACATATCACAGATGTGCTATTAAAAGAACTCTAAAACATCAATGATAGTTTTATTTACTAGTCAAATAATTTATATTACTATTAGCATGAAAAGTTTTTAAAAAGGTGAATATAATTTCTGCTGAAAACAGCAAAATACAGGGCCGGAGATTTAGCTCAGTCATGTCACCACCTGCCTGTGAGCACAAGATCCTGGGTGCAAAAAAAACCCAACACCACCACCAACAACAAAATGCTGCTAAAGATGCTCCACATAAACACATACACAGGAAGAAATGATACTATTCATCTCCCCAAATTTGACAGATTTGTAGAAAGCCCCTTTTTTGGTAAAATGTTACAAGATAACCCTAAAATATACACATAAGGGAAAGGTCCCGATACAGCCAAGAAAATCTGCAAAGAATAAAATTAGAAGACTAAACCTACATGATCTCAAGACTCATTATAGAGCCGTAGTAAACACCACAGCGCAGTGCTGACCAAGGCAGACCAGAAAAGGGAGCCAAACACAGAGCCGCCACACCTCATCTGCTGATTCTTTTGACAAAAGCACCAATGAAATGCAACAAGGAAAGAGAGCCTCTTCGATGCTCTGTACTGGGACAGTGTGGTACTTGTACGAAGAGTAACACGAACCTTGGGCCTTCACTTAATATAGAAGAGAACATTACAAGGCCTCTGGAAAAACATATTTAGGGTACAGGAGCTGGGAAAGATTCTGACAAGATATGATAAAAAATAATATATACAGTATATAGAAAATTGAACAATCTCATCAACATTAAAATTTTCTACCCAAAAGATACCATTATAAGCACAAAATAGCAAGCCATACCTAGGAGGAAAAATAAAACACGTGACAAATGACTTTTTTACAAACTTCTAAAAATTACTAATAGGGAGATGAACAACCCAATTTAAAAATAAGCTTAAGGGGGGGCCAGAGATTTAGCTCAGTGGGGCTGCCACATGCTTCACAAGCACAAGGTCCTGAGTTTGATCCCTGGTATCAAAAAATAAAAAAATTTAAAACTTACAAAAATAAGCTTAAGGGATGAACAGTTCATTGTAAACAAAGCATATATGATGGGGTAAGAAAAGGTATTCAATGCCATTATTTATCAGAGAAAGCCAATTAAGGCAACAATAAGGCTGACAAATACAAGAAGAATGAGTGTTAAGTGCTGGTGAGGACATGGGTGAAATGGAATGCTTACAATGCAAAATGAGATACCCATTTGGCGAAGGACAGGGGAAAAGAAAAGAAACAGTGAAGGAAGAAGACCCTCAGAAGAGAGCATGGCCTGAGAAGGCTATGTCCGGCAGGACGTGGGAGCAGCTATCATCATCAGCAGAAGCACAGGGGTGCGAGTGCAATGGTCAGCTGTGGGCCCAGACCAGAAGCCCCTCAGTGTCTGTCATTTGAAAAAGGAACTAGGAAAAACAGCATCAGGGGAACTTTTTTCCCTTACATAAGAAACGCTCTACCTGGCTGGCATCATGAAATTAACGGGTTCACACATAACAAACAGGATCACCACAAATGCTACGATCTCCGTCTCTTGTACTATCTCTTCATGTCAACCACAAATGAATAATTAAAAAATATTCAAGATGATCTACTGAAAATTATCTAAATTATGAAAGAGGAAAACAGTCTGCCATTTATTTTAAGTTGCAACTTCAGATCCTACAAATTATTTTTCTCAAAATGATCTAGATAGGGATTGGGAAAGATATAAAAAAATCTTTTTAATGTCAGTTTCATGCTGTCTCTTGATATAACTTGAAGGAACACAGAGCTCCTACTTACTACTTTACAAAAACCTAGAGAAAAATCAAACTTACTGCTTCTCATATGTAATTTTTAATCATTTTAAATGATAAATAAAATTTCTCTAATAAATATATTCCCATCTCTTCTTACATAAAAGCAAAGTGCTCACTTTCTACAAAGAGTGCTTCTTATTGCAAGACATCATCTTGCAACTCTCAACCTAAGAATTTCTGGAAATACACCAGAAATTTGGCTCTAAGGCCTAAGTCACAACATTTCTCATCAGAATGATTAATCTTTACAAAAAGGCAGGAAGACAAGACAAGACAGAGCCGCCCACTCTGACATTTTCATTCTTTGAAAAAAAAAATTCCAATCTAGTTCATGAACTGGGACTATCATTTATAAAAAGTATGTAACCTACCAAGAGTAAACTCTGATTATATGATTAACAAGGTCATTATCTTTCTTGATCTTTGCATTGAGAAAGGCATACTGACATTAAAAAGTGGTTCTAGCATAGTATTACTTAGAAATCTGATAAACCTTTGCCCAGGAACCAGCCAACCTTTAATAACAAGATTACTTCATTTTCTTTTTCTGCTTACTTGAAAAAAAGTATAAATAAAGAGATAACATTATTTAAAAACCCATTCCAGGTCTGGCAATATAGTTCAATGACATTGTGCCTGCCTGGCAAGCATAAGGTCCCAAGTTCAATTCCTGGTAACAGGAAAAACAAAAAAAATCTCTCCATTGATCTGTATGGAACTTATTTTTTGCCCAAACTTGCTATATTCAATGACCACAGAGTGGCAAGCACATATTTTTCAGGTAAGCTGCTAATCATCCTGTGGCTGCTGTGAGTTGAGCACGTGTGTGTGTGTGTGTGTGTGTGTGTGTGTGTGTGCATGCGCGCACATGCGCGCATGCCTAAGTACAGCAGAAGCATTGCTGTGGTCATGAGGAAAGGAAGAAAGGAAGGAGAGGTGAGGGTCAGCAGGGAGAGGTTTCTCTGCAGGTCCTCAGCAGCCCCGAAGTGCGCTGGTGCCTCTATGTAGGCTTGAACCTAAAAGGAATCAAAATTGAGATGTTTCCTAAGGATTTGAGCTTGAGTCTTTTCCTTGGCTTCCTTCACTTCTGAACAGCTCAGTGGGGAATAAATCAGTGCTAACTTTAGGAAAGCCCTGCACTAGAGAAGAGCAGAGTATTAACCACTGAGGTGAGGCAGTGGATGGAAGATGGCATGGGTGCCAGGGAATGACACGGCTGTGCGAAGCAATGAGAGGGCAGGGGCACAGGGAATCAACCCAAGTGCTGCTGAGCAAAAAGCCTGGACGCTGAGCTGGTCAACAGTAAGTTGGTCAAACGATATAACCATCATCTGTCCATTTTACAGGAACTTGTGTACCTGGGTTATTTTTTCTATTCCCTGGAAGTTGTGCTTTTCAAAGTACTCTGCTATATTCAGGAAGGTGTGCCGTTCTAGATAGCAGCAGTTACTCAGGACTATCAGAAGCCGCTGCTCCTAAAACCAAAAAGATGTTGAGAAAATTACATTTATAGTAAAAACTTGTCAAGTGTTATTGCTTATTAAGTTTAATTATAATCTTTTGATCATTAATATTCAATGCTTGGCTTCTCTTAGGCTGCTTCTTTCCTAACATTAACACATAGAGAAACATAAGCCAATCCCACAGTTCCACAAGTTGCTCATTTTTACCCAAGACAACAAAGAATCAAACAAGGCTGAGCAGCAGCTCCAGGGCACAGTACTTCCCTGGCGTGCACAAGGCTAGGGTTCCATCCCCAGCCCTGGAAAGAAAAAGGGTCAAATGATGCTTCCTTTAACATGCTACATACACAAGAAGACTACACAAGTGGCTCTTCAAATAACCAATTTCTGAAAATGTAGACATTATTAAAAAATGACCTACAAATTTTTCTTAAGTTGGAGGAGAATGATCTTCCATATTAATGATTAATGGGTCCTTCAAAGCCTTCAAGAATTTTCTGTGTGTAGAAATAGCTTCCTTTCAACAAGGAAGGTCCCAGAGGGCAGCAGCCTCACCACAGGAAGTGGTTGGGTAGCCAAGGAGAAGGTAGAGTCCCACTTGCTGCTACATTTGCCAGGCTTCTGTTCGCCTAGTTGAAGATTGGTCAGACCACAGGCTGATGAATACCATGCCCCTTTACAGTTCAGAAGAACTATTTTGTAAATAAAATTCCAGGAATGTCTCTTGCTGCTGATGCTGCTGCTGCTGCATGTTGTGGCTCACCCAGGCGTGGGTCCATTGCCCTGCAGGTGACCGGTATTCTCTGGAACAACTTGACTCATCTGGAGCCTTCACTCAGATCCTTGACTAAAACTAAGGCTAAGCCACTTTCCAGGAAAAGGCCTCACTCATACCTGGCTTATTCTTTCTGTACAGACTCAGAATAGCCCCCAGAAAATAGTTCAGTGTAGAAAATGTGGAAACAGATAGATTCCTGTTCTTTGAGGTGTATCTGGACCAAAGATGAACAACAGTCTTTGAACTCCATTGCCAAGCAAATCTTAGGCCTTCCAATAATTTAGCTCTACTTTGACTGAGATCACTGTTGAGTCAAATGTCCCAAGACCAACATTTCTTTATTTAAGATGTTCCTATCTTTATTTATGGCACGGTATAGTCCAATCTCTGCACTTTTTGGTCAACAATTACAAATAAAATGTTAAAGAATTATCAAAGTACTATAACTCTAAGGAAGCAAAGTTGCCCTAACCCTGAATTAATCTGTGGATGAAACACAGAATACAAAACAAGGCCAGGTCCAGTAGAGTAATCCGGTGTACACGGCCCCTTCCCCACACCGAGTAAATAAATGGTAGGAGTGACCTGAGACAGAAAGCAGTGCTCCAAGTGGCCTGGGCATGATGGCAAAGCCACACTTCCCTCTTGTCCCAAGCCTGGTGCAGCCATTAGGCAGTCCTTTCAAAGCAAGTAAACAAGACTTTTCATCAGCTATACCAAAATACTGTATTCCTCAAAGGTCTGATTACTTTTTCTTCCAGAGTCCACCCTCTTTACCTAGCAGACCAAGTCTGCTGGCAGAGAAGAGTTTATTTAGCATACCCCTGTAACGCTGTAATGTGCAGGATTCCTCTTCAACAGAGAAACCCCTGGAGTGGTCTCATGTCTCACTCTTCGTGTATTTTTGGCCCAGGCTGCTTTATTTCGATAAGATGAAATAAAACATGAAAGAACAAGTGGACCACGCAAATTCTTAAACCAGGATGCGTAAAAAGAAGCTTATTAACGCCTCAGGTAGAGATGGTTTTTGACAGGGGCAAGTCCACTGACTTAGAGAGCACTGAAAATGAAGACACGTGGCCTGCCGTATCGCTTCTCTGTGGCCCAGGACGGGCACAGTAATATGCCCACAGTGACACGGAAGGGTCACCCTGCGGTGTGCATGGGAATTTGCTCACTTCCCACGGCTGCCTCCTTGCTGGGTGGCACAGACTTTGAGGACATCTCAGTCGCTGGGAAGATGGGCAAGGTCTAATAAGGCACCTTCTAGGGGGCCAGGAGTAGGAGTTGCAAACCCAAGAGCAACTCCGGGAGAGCACAGCCGTACTGCTCCAGGGCACTGTGTCAGGCAGAGACTGAGAGCAGCTCTGGGGTTGCTGAGAGCAGGCATAACGTGCATCCTCAGGGTGCTGTGTCTGTCCCCTCTGAGGACCCCAGGATGAGGAACGCGGCAGGCTCAGCATGGGGGGCACATGAATACCTGGCGGGCAAATGCCTAGCTGTCTCAGGGGTCAGTGAGCCAGGCAGACAGCTACGACTTCAAACACTGGCACAGGGACCCCATGTGAGCCAGGCTGGTTCTGGAGCCTGGAACAGGCACAGCGCCCGCAGCTGGAAGAGCTTCACCACTTCCAAGGAGCTCTCCCTCTTCCTGTGCCGCCCAGCGCACTTCCTCTCTGCATCCTGGAAAGGATCGTTCAAGCCCACGGCGTGGACCCCCACCAACCTTCCTGCCTCCAAGGACAATCGGCCAAGCCACAGCAGCCATAGAGGTGGCTCTGGTCCAGCCCAGGACTGCCACGCTGGTCCTGTTCAGCTCAGCTACTCAGCTCTCCTCGGCGAGACATTTGTTCTCCATCTGTCCCGGAAACGCTGCTCTCCTGGGATTTCCTTCCAGCTCAACCACTACTCCTTTGCAGAGTACTGATGCCTCTATTCCCAGTCATCCCCAAACTACTTCCTTCTCTTGTTCTGCGAGCTGCAGGGCAGCTCATGTCCTCCTCTGCAGCCTGACCTCTGTACCACTGGAGAGGATGCAGCAGGAAGCCATGTGTATGGGCCATGAGCTCCCGAAGCCTAAACTTGGCACTGCATCCAGCAGGCCACCATGCACAGAGAGCGCGTACCACTGTCCCCAGAGCTCTGGACACAGCACCCTGGCACTCAGTGCTCATTTCTGTGGAGGCCCCACTGGCCTCATCTCAGGGTGGTTTGGGCAGCACCTTGGCAGGACTCCCTGCCATAGCTTTTGGGGGGACTCCAGCCACCATGAGTCTGGCTGTCCCACAAATCAAATGCTTATTCTTTCTTTAGAAGCTGTTATCTCAGTGAAGGCTAATGTTCTCTACCTAGTCTTTGGAGTAAACCTAGATAATGACTAATTACTTTTACTAAATTACATTTTTCTTAGTTTACCAGGCCCCTTATTATTTAGGAGTTCATAGTAGTAAATATAACAATTGCTAATAACATATGACAGGAAACTGTGATCACACTTCTGTTTTTAAAGATATACATACAACACATCATGAGAGGAGTATTTGAAGAAAATCTGACTTTGAATTTCAACAGCTAAATTTATAAACACGGTATCATATGTATGTGAATCATCCCTAAATACATGTGTATGTTAAAAATACACACATATACATATGTATACACACACATAAAATATATACATATAAAACAAAAACAAATATACATGCATGAGATAGGCATATAAAATACACAATAGACTTGTATAAACATGAAGTGTGTGTGTAGCTTCGTGGTGATCTGATTTTGTTTTGGCTGTGCAACTTGCATTCAGGAACTCACAGGATACAACAGAGAGAAGCAGAGCTTCTGCAGCCGAAGAGAAAACAACACATGGCAAATGCCCGCCTCCCTCCCCCAGATCAACTTTCCAGGGCCGGGCAACAAGGAGGGCAGTTGTGGACACCAGAGAGCCTGCAAAAATGGACTGAGTCCAACTCCAGCTCAGAAGCTCTAAGTGTAGGATATGCATCAGGGTGTTTACTACCTTTTTCACACAACAAAGTATAAAGCAGTCTCCATACCACGTGCCACAGCAGGGAGGCAGAAACATTCAAAGAAACATGTAACAGTCTGTTCACCATCTTACTCACAGAAGTCAAACTAAAGTCTTCATGGACGCTCCCAAACAGATCAGGAGAAGAGACATCCCCCGAGAGACTGCACAGAGAAGAGAAGAATTGCAATGAAAGCCCTGAAATTTAAAATATAGTGAGCTACATGTAAATATGACTTTAAAACATCCTGATGAAAAATTAGACAACTTCCTGTAAGTTTTTATGTTTAATTATAGCTCAAAAAAAGCAGCATGGACTATCAACACAGCCATATGAAATCTGCTCTTTGGTCTCTTCAAAACTGTCTTAATACAGTTTAAAAACAAATCACCCAAGGGGAAAATGTCAAATAATACCCAAATAGTTAAAATATTTTTGCTATCAGAATTTCCAGGGGAATTTTTCAAGCTCAATTTCATAGTAACATAGTATCGTCAAGAAATTAGATGATAACTCATAAGTGACCAGAAGCAAAAAAACTGTTGGTAGGGCAAGGGTACAATAAATCCACAATTTATAGGTATAAAAGAATCATGAAAAAAAATACCAAGCAGGACTTATTTCTTTAAATTTGACAGACTTTAGAATTCATATAGAAGAGTAAAACCATGAAAATAGAAAATATTTCAAAATTGGTAACAAAAGGATGCCAATCTGAAAAATATTAAAACAGCACTGAGTGATATAACATACATTTGAATGAATAGAATGGAAGTTCAGAAAAACAATGCAGTGTACTAGAAATCAGTGATTCATTAAACAGAAATTATAACAAAGCAATCAAAAATGACTTATTGAATTAATATCAAGGTTCTGATTACACTCCAAATTCTGGCAGATTAATAACCCAAACATGTAGAATCAAATCAAAACCTAAAAAAACTAAAAGCTTACTAGGTCTCTAGAGAGGTAATAGTTTTATAAACTGAAAAGCAAAAACCAATACTAGGAAACAGACAAAAAATAAAAACACCCTCAGACTAAGATTTAAGAGGACTTATTTTTGTGTGGCTTAATCTGTGTCACACTACATTTAAAGTACAGTGAAGTTACATGTATCAAAGGTCAATCAGAAAAAGTGGACTGAAAAGGAAGCTAGGCGTGGTGGTGCATGCCTGTAATCCCAGCACTTGGGAGGCTGAGGCAAGAGGATCGCTGTGAGTTCAAGACCACCAGCCTGGGCTACACTGTGAGTTCAAGTCAGTCTCAACCACATAGTGAGACCCTGTCTCAAAAAAACCAGACAAATAAAAAGGAAACAAACATCTGGCCTTGCCACCCCTGTCCCAGCATCAGGACCAAGCTCCATCCAGGCCTGGTCTGCTCTTCCACAAGAGAACCAGCATCTCCTGATGCCAGACTCCCGCACGCTTAATTCTACACCATTACTTATGCAGCCCACTCTTCTGGAAAATGAGAAAACCTGCTCAAATCTCTCTCGTGAGGCTAAGTTCAGAGGATTGAGAAACTGGACAGAACATAGGCCATGTATATAAAACTGTGACTTTGCTACAAGCAGATGATCTCTCTTTCTTGGAGCCTTAGGATATAAAACCAAATCTATAACCTGAGTGTACATTTTAAATTCTCTTCAATGCATCAGCAAGATTAATTACTTACTGTGTGGTATCTACGTCTGCATCAGGCTTGGTGCTCAACTGTTCCAGGCAGTATATAAAAACCTAAGTCGAAAATAACAAGTTCTAGTGACCAGAACTCTCTCAGTTATTAATCTACCAGGACATCAAAAACTATTTGACATAAATTAAAGTAGAATTCTATATCACATGAGAGAGTTGAGGTGGGAAATGCATTAACTAAATATATATGATTTACCTGCACATAAGCTACAGAAATATAGATCTCAGCCATACACAATATACAAGCAACACAAATTAAAAGCATCTACATTTCAATCACTTATGACATTCTTAGCCAAGTGTGGTGGTGTGTACCTGTGATCCAGCTCTCTGGGAAACCAAGCAAGGAGGCTCACTAACTTGAACTCAGCATAGACAACTCAGTGAGACCCTATCTCAAAAAATCAATCAACCAATAAATAAATAAGGACTGGGGATGTAGCTCGGGTGAAGGGTCCTGGGTTCAATCCCCAGTCCCACCACACAAAATAAAATTCTTGAATATCAAGAAATTATCTTTTCCCTTCTCTTATATACTCACTAACATGCTCGTCTTTATGTACTTAGAAAGCACTGGTCCACATTAGAAAAAGCTTTAAATAAAATACAGACAAATAATTATCATTCTATTTACTTTGTGATCTAATGCAAATATTATGGAAATATGAAAAAGGGAGGCATAATATAAATGAAACATTTGGGCACTGTTGTAACAAGCAAGAATTAATCCTATATTACCTATGCTGCCCTAGGACTGAAAAGAGTGCATGTGTTGTGTACTGACTGACAGACCCCTAACTTCAGGCTCTGGCACGGCCACCCTCTTGTACTACCTGCATGATGCTGATGCTTAGCTGGCAAACGTCCTCCTGTGTTTTAGGCTGTTGAAAGACCTACAAGGAAGCATTTGAACAAAATGTTTGGACTTTGCTAATAAAACCAAATGTTTTGCTTCTGAGTTAGACATAAAATGCAGAATGGCTGGGATCCTAGTAGCCTCACAGTGGCCTCTGGCTTGGGAAGACAAGGCAGCCCGTGCTGGCACTCAGCACCTGGTCAGTGCTCCATGCTGCACACCAAGTACTGGCCCTGAGGGGCTCTGCCCAGAGCACCCCCACTCTTGTGTGTGAGGGCCCCCCAGCTGAGCACAAAGCAGCATGTCCATGTTGTTACCCTACATGAGACCCACAAGCAGTCAAGGGGCAAAACACCACACAAAACCCTGCCAGTGTGATTCCCAAGGAAGGGCTGTCGGCAGTCTGGGGCAGACTCACGCTGGCTTCTCCGGGCTTGCACTCTAAAACACCTTTCAGCGACTGCAGTGAATGTGAAACACACTGTTCAAACTGACATGGCTGAAAAAGAGAAAAAAAAAAAAAACCAAACAAAAAAACCTGTCTTAAATTCCCAGACAAGCACTGGCTAGGAGACAGGTTTAACCAAGTGAGCAGGGACAGAACCTTGCAGTCCTCAGACTTGAAGAGGATCACAAATCATCTGGCCCATAATAACAAGATTACAGCATCCTACATCTGTCATATGCTTTGTACTTAATATTTAAAAAGTGGGGGAGTCTTAAAACTGAAGTATATTTAATTCATTAAAACAGAACTCAATTATAAAAGTTTTCTTTAAAAGTCTACTCTTCTGAGAGACAACCGACAACACGATAAGGATCCAGTCTAACAAGCTCGTGTTTTAAGACTTCCTCTGGCTACGTGCTAGAATGAATGAGGTCATCACCAATGCTCCACATCTCCAACAGAGTCCAACAAAATCTAGTGTTACCGATATCGACTTGGAGGAGATATAAGATCTTTAAATCAATCAGTCATTACAATCATTTTCTATATGAATTACATCAGAAAGTGAAACTTGAAAATATGTCCAACCAATGGCATTTCACGCTAAGCGTGAACATACCCTAACACCTTGTAAAGTTTGACTCTAGGTGACAAGACACCCAAGGGTGAGTAACACAGAATTCTCATTAGTTATTCTAATCAGGAGGTACAACCATGAAAGTCACATCAAAAACAGGTTTTTAAAAAGTATAGAAATAAAACTGTAGTAGAAAATGATACAAAGCACCATGACACAAAGGAGTAGAACTCAGAGAAAAGTGTGCTGGGAAGAGGCAGCCCTGAACAGCATGGTCGGAGAAGGCCCTCCAAACTCGGGTGCAACAGCAGCTGTCCCCAGAGCACAGGAGGATGGCAGCACAGGACAGAACAGGGCTAACTAAGCACATGCAAGGCAAGGGGGGGTGCTGGAGGTGCAGGTCACACGAGGTGACCTCTGTTCAGCCAGCCAGCTCTGAGGAAAGCTCCACAGGAGGGAGACTGGACAGCCTCTCTTTAATATCCACAGCGTATCTGTTGAAAGGTTTTTTGTTTTTTGTTTTTTTTTTTTTTTGGAAAAAACTAAGAGAAGAAAGGAAGTGATAGTACATATAACCATCAATACACACTATCTAAACACATCCATGTGTACAGATGAATAGAGACAAGTTTGCTTTTTTTCTTTAAAGGAGTCCTGGTTTAATGAAAGTGAAAATAGTGCCTCAGCATCATGGTATTTTTATCACTGCATTTTGAAACCACCAGAAAGCACCAAAATGAATATTTAAAATGAAGTACATACATGGAGAGGTAGGGAATACTTACTGCACAGAGAGCATTTACTGAGACAACACATTCATTAACATCCAGGGTGAAGGAGGCCCTGGGTTTGCTCCCCAACAAAAGAAGTCTGTCAGAGGACTGACCTTATTAATTTGATCTACCTCCTCTGGCAGGCTCAAAAATAAAAACATATGAACAATAATAATTATAATACTAAGCATATATCCAAGACCCTACTGGGGCAGGTTAAACATGTGTATACCTGATGCTACCGGTACAGAACTGGGATGGTTCCATTAAGATCTGGACCAAACTTCCTTAATGTCTACACCTACATTAACAAACGCATGGGCAGGGAATCCCAGGCAGCTCAGGGTTAGGGTTCATTAAACTGGGAGTAAATGACAGTTTCAGAAGATACTTTTTCTTTGCTCTGAAAGCTAGGAAATAGCACTATCTCTGGGCTGTCAGTGAATCACCCAACTTGGCTGACTGTAAGAAGTTATCATAAATCATTCCAGTTCTTCTGAAAGAAGAAATTCTCAGTATTATCCAAAACGAAAAACAGCAGAGACCATATTCAATCTGAGAAGAAAACAGGATGCTTTCAAGTGAAGTGTTTAAACCAGGAGTGGTGGTGCACGCCTGTAATCCCAGCACTCAGTAGATTGAGGCAGGAGGATCACTGGGAGTTCGAAACCAGCCTGGGCTACATTGTGAGTTCCAGGTCAGTCTCAACTACATAGTGAGACCCTGTCTCAAACAAACAAACAAACAAACAAACAAACAAAAAATCAAATGAGCTGTTTAGGAGGAATGCAGTGAAGTGCTAATCAGAGATCACAGTCCAGCTGAAAGACAGCCACACCACGAAAAGGAGGGTTCCCTGTCCCTCACGGGAAAGAAACCCACAGGGTGGCACTATGGGAACATGGAGAGGTCAGTCAGAGGCAACGGTGCAATGGAAGGAAGCCTTCAGAGTCTCAGAATCATACACACATTGGATCGAATTACTCAAAGCTGTAACCCAGACTGTGCACTAAGCGTTGATTCACCTATTCTCTTAAGAAAGGTGGGTAGGAGCTCCCAGAGAGCTGAGTTAGCACCATCATGGCCACCGTGTCAGCGGCTTTTGTGGGAGGCACTCAGTTACAAGTGCTTGGCTGGCCTCAGACATGGTGAACGGTGGTCGGTCGCTCACGGGGCACTGGGCCCTAGTGCTTCCTCTCCCCTACACATGCGTATGAGGCTTGCAGGCTGCATGCACAGTGTGAAGAAGGAATGGGAAGTTACAGCTGCAGTAAGGCAGTCAGGTTGCCCTTCTATGTCAGAAGTGGACCACAGAACAGCATATGAGGTGACCGTTCCAGGCATGTGCCAGGGTGCACTCACTGGGCCACTGTGCATGCCAGGAACACCAACCTGAAGGACCAAGGCCAGGATTTATTTCATGTCCTAGTACTGAGTTTCTGCCCAGCTTTTTTAGTTTTAATGAAACACAGAACACTGACAACAGCAACTCTATGCTCTCAAATTGAACATGCCAAAAACTACACCGAGGCAGGTGTTAGACACCAGGTGCTATGGTAACATGCTGTCTAATCTGCTCACAGCTCCCTCACCTGGGCACGTTAGGGGAGTGGTCCAGTGATCCCTTTGACCTATCATTTAAGTTCACCATGGCAATGACAACAGAACTATATGAAAAAGCTTTGAAAATATAGTTAAGGTATCATGTAAACTTAAGAAACTATCATTAATGTAACAAATAAAAGTCCTGCAAGTTTGTCCAAAGATGCGCAATTTAAAGTGCTTTAAACCCACAGTATCTCATCTGATTCTAACCGAAGGCCCGGAGAAAGGGCTCTGCTCCTGGTACCTGGATGACAGCACAAGGTTGGCAGACACAGGCTCTGCTCCAGGCAGGTGCAGCGCAGTCCCTGCCACCAGGCTGCCTTGGGACCGTGATGGGAGCCCACACAAATACAGTGAACTTCAGGTCTCCTAGTAAGCCACATTCAAAAGTGTGAAATAAGTTAATTTCAATATAATTTACTTAATACAATATATCCAAATTTTTAAAATTTCAACATGTGACCAATGTAAGAAGTTGAGATATTTTACATTCTGTCTTTTCATGTATTTCAAGTGGCTGCCCAGCTGGGTGCTGCATACCTTTCTATAAAGTCCTGGAAGGAAGGAGAATTGGCTCTTGCAATTTTTATATAAATACCAACAACTGTGACTAACAGAGTAAATCCAATCAGTTAAACTTAAAATACTTTAAAATATATCAATAATTTAGTAAAAATAATAAGCTTTCTTAACACATTTACAGCACAATTTAATTTATAAAAATTTTTTTTCTAATGTACACTGCCACTTAAAGTAGCTTGTATTTGTAAGCTTTAAGACAGAGCCCTGAACTTTGGTGGAATGGAGCAAGGCCCAAATCCCCCAGCCCTCCAGGAAGAAGTACAGAGTCTGAGGAGAAAAGGGAATAGCAAGTGGGAGCTCTGCTCCTCGACAGCCTGGACCATCACTGTTTTGTAAGTCTGGGCAGCCAAAACATTTTCTTCTTGATACCTTATCTAGGTGGAAACTAGAAGTTGTCTCCCCAAAATGTGTTTTTTCCCTTCTTGCTAAGGACAAGTTCAAACTGGAAACACCAACTGCTCTTCTGAGATCACCACTGCCCACCTCTGCAGCTGAGGCCACACACAGGAGGATTCTAGTCACACTATGCAAGAACATTGGCCAGCTTGGGCTCGTGGATAGAGCAGGACCTTTACCTGGCAGGCATGAGGCCTGAGTGACCAGTGCACTGGGTCCCAGAGAGGAAAGGGAGAAGCCTATCAGGACAATGAGAGGGAGAAAGGAAACCCTGCCCTGTGAAGCAAAGGCCAACCTCAGCAACATGCACCTTGAGACTGCTGGGGGCTTGTAAGCCAGGAGTGAGAACAACAGCAATCAACTGGAAAGGTGGCGAATCTGAAGGACAGACCAGGGTCACAGTGCTGCATCTGCAGGGGCACTTGCTTTTGCTTATTTTGTTGTAGCTCAGGGGTTAGCAATGGCATTCCTTCCAGCCAGCTTTTTTCAAAATTTCAAGTTGCTGAGCAGTATGGACTTAAACACAATGGATTGTCTTAAGAGTTACGCAAACAAAACTGGTGTCACAAAGGATGAAGGCAGGTCTCACGAAAAGACACACACTGTTTTCATTAATTTTTAAATATTTGTGATAAAACAAAACTGACTCTGAGAAGAGAAACCTCAAGAAGCTTCTTTTTTTAATTTGTAGAACAACCTACAGGTTCCAATGTACAGAGCAGATACACCTAATTAATACAACAAGTCATGGGCTTTAGATAGAATGGACACTAATACTAATAATGGAAAAGCATTTCAACTTACGAGGGAAGTCAGTCCTTCATTATCAACAATCCAGTCCTCTTTTTCAGCTAATCGTTTTATTTCTACAAGGAAAACAAACACAAGTATTTTTATTATAATTATCTCACTGTATGTTACAGCGATAAAAACCTATAAAGGTTATAGTTTTTAATTATTTTATGCAGGTTTATAAAACCTTGGTGAAAATAGGAATATAATATTAGTCCATTTGAAGATTTAAATATGTATCCTTCACTGAATTTTTCTAATATAATATTAATGTAAATAAAAAATTTTACTGCATTATGCAATTTGAGAGTTTTAGGATAGGCAGGTCCCACACCCACCTTCTGCAGTGTGCTGCAGTGTGACCATCACACAGCGCACGCGGAGGTCCAGAATGAGGTCTTGGATCGTCTGTAGCAGCTCGTTAGGGATTTCCAGGGCAGTCAGGGACTCGTAAGTGAGCCTGGAACATAGACAGACACAAGGCATGCCGTGAGCAGATGGGAGCAGATGGGAGCCCAAAGCCACACCTGCCATCGCTTCCACCCTGGACTGCTAGGCAAGAACAGCATGCAGGAGACCACAGCAAGGATAGCAGTGCTGTGACGGTGATGCGAGAGGAGCAGTGAGAAGCTGCTGCAGTGCAACCTCCGCATCAGGACGTGTAGAAGCTGCAATGCCAGGAGACAAAACCATGGAGGCAACAGGAAGGGAGGAGAGGAAAATCTTTTTTTTGCCTGTATCAAACATTGTATCTCATACTGTGCCCCCTCCCCATCCCCCAAGCAAAGGAGCAACCGCCTCTTCTGCTGACTCACCGCAGGGTCTGGATGACATGGGTGAGCCACTGGCCGGAGAGCTCAGCCTTGACCTCCCAGCCCCCATACTGCCAGGCCTCCGCCTCCCGCATGCTGAGGGGCAGCAGGGCTCCACGTACCAGCTTCACCAGGGAATGCATGACTTCTTGGATCATCTTCTGGAAAACAACAAGTGAAACTGCACTCAGAGGCCATCAAGCTGGTGAGTCACAGGGTTTGTGTGAATGTCAGACCACCCTCTGCTCCTTGGATGGGTGTATGTGCCTGGGCATCTGCACACACTCCTGGGGGTTTACACATCCTCCTGGGGTCTACACACCCTCCTGGGATGTGCTCACCCTCCTGGGGGATCTGCACACTCACCCTTTGCTTACCTTGAAATCAGTCTGCCTCTGTCTTACGTTCTTTGATCTTTCAATCTGGCCTGACTTCTCGGCAGTCTTAAAAATAAAAAAGAAAAACAAAACATATTAGCTGTCTTCTAGAAGTAATTAAGGAAAATGAAAGATGCATTAGCAGTTGCCAGGAGAACATGGAACAGAACCTGAGTAAATACAGTACTTAAAAAATAATCGAGGCTTTTGATTAGAAATTAATTAGAAAATCTTTCTTATTCTAATACGGAGTCATTTATTTTTCTAAAACTTTTCAATATGATTTCCGTAAGTAAGCCTAAGAATTAAGTTGAAACTGCCAACTCTAGAGATGAATTTCCCACATGCCATCTTCATCAATAATTCTACATGGTTACAGAACAATACATCACACTCAACATTCTAGTACAGAAATAAGAGAGTAAACTCTACATTAATATAGAGTAATCCTACAGCATCCACTCATCCCCTTGGTAAATGATTTCAGCTGTCATTTTATTAAGCAAAAATTATAATTCACTGCTTTTAGGAATCTTACAAATAATTTGAGAGAATACAATGTATGAATAATTTGTTTATAAATGTTTTCCTTTAATTTGTAGAAGACTGCATTAGTTAAAAGAGAAATCTATTTATCTGGATTTGTTAGCTTTTAATAACAAGTAAAGACTACTATATAAAACACCACAGATGGGTAAACTTAGGAAATTTTCTAAATAAAAAAGCGATAACAAAATTATACTATGTACAAGTTTGACACTTCGATAACATAATATAAAAGTTATGCCTTAAAATTAAAACCTCATATATTATAAAGCAAAAACATGTCCAGAGCCCTTTCAATTGAAGATCAGCCACACTGAGATGATACTGACTTCACATTAACTTTAAGATCCAAGTGTTTAGTGTGTGCATATCAACATACACATGTATAAACATGCATATAAATCTCATCTCAGCAGAGCCGTCTGCCCCTCCTGCAGATATTCTTTACTTTGAGGCCTTATTCATTTCTTTCATAGCTGTCTCTAAATTCAGGATTACTTTTTGAAAATCTACTTTGGTTCTGTCTCTGGGGGACTACACTTCCTATAGTATCTGTATTTTAGGATGTATTTATGCATACCCAGTATGCATACCTATGTATATGTATATATGGATGTGCACTGTATTCCACACATATAGTATGCATGCATATGTGTGTACATGTTTATAATGTGTATACCATGTATAAACATACATATATCTACACACTGTGTGTGCAAGTATATATGTGTGAATGTATGAGAAAGTGTGTGTGTGTGTTGCAAGTTAAGACTATGCTTTGCCAGAACAGTTCTGGTCCACAGAATAGGCTGCTCATGAATGTATGATGACACCTACTGGACAAAAGCTTTATAAAATTCAGACATTTGTGTCCAATACAGGCAAAGTAGAGGGGGAGACGAGTGAGGTGCAAGGCATGCTCCTTGCACTTGTTAATGAAAAGTTACTCACTCACCAGTTTAACTGGATGAAGAAGAGTTAAACATCACCAACACAAAACATTATGTATGGTTTGCCCTATAAGTTCCCAACCTATGGTACATTTTGATTTACATGAGTCATGCAACATTTTAAAATGTTGAGTTCTAATGTTCAACAATTATATGACATGTCTAAAGGTGAGATCTTTATTATTAACCATTTCGTTAACTAAAAACCTTAGCTCTTTCCTGCACACACAGACCAAAACTCCTTTGTGGTAAGGCCAACGGTAGATTTCACTGTTCTGATTCACAGGTTACTTCAAATGGCCCCCGCTGGTTTAGAGAACTGACTATTTTCTAAACTGTTGGAAATTTCATCAAATTCTTTAACGGACAGAATGGTTAATAATATAAGATGGTTCTATCAGAAGAAAAAGAAATTTTAAGTAATTTGTGTTTACTGAAAGGTCTTCTGTATAAAATTAAATATCAAGTATCAAAAAGCCCAGAACTCTTCCCAACATTTACTTATGTTTCTAGGTTTCACTTATAGGCTGGCAATGAGAGGCACACTTTCAACTCTTCCACTCTCTGCTACTTCTACTTCCTTCCCTCTGGTGTCTTTTAAGCTTTTCAATAGAAGATGGGTAATCTTAAAACATGCCTAAATCTGTAGCAATAATTATACTTAATTATTATTACTATAAATCTTGAAGAAAGCATTATTAACATAAATTGGTAGAAACAGCACAGGCACATCCACTTCAGTAGAATAATTAAATTGTTTTTTCATTCTAATAATACCATTGTCCATGAGACCTGAAACAGGTCATTTATTTCACATCTACAATCAAATATTTTATCTATATACTCTTAACATAACTGGGTACAACCTAGAAGAAAAGAAAATACATTCCCTTTTCAATAAGATACCCCAGATCAAAAACTTAGGAATTTTATGACTGACAAACAAGGCTCTAGCCAACATCCACATTCTGTGTTGCCCAGGTCCAAAGAAGCAGAAGTAGTCTTTGCTTTGGGAAGATCCCCACCTCTCCAGGGCCGTGTGGAGTGCCCGTGAGACAGGGAATGGAAACATCTTCTCCACCCTTCAAGTAGACCTGGAGCAGCCAGAGGAAAGGGTTCTAGAGACTTTGGAGCACTGGATGCGAGGCCATAAAGAGATGAGCCCACTGCAATACCCACCGCAGATGCTCCTTGACCTGGGCTGGGGCGCTGCCCTGATGCATTCACCGTGATGGAGACAGTCTGAGTGGGAGGTGCATGGGACACACGTGGCCTGTGGACCAGATCCCTCAGCACCACAGGCCACAGCACTGCACCGGCTACTTCCTCACAACCCCGCTGCCACCCAGCACAAGAAAGGATCGCGTCCATCACAGACCTGGAAAACAGTCAGCATCCAGGGTAGAGTTTCTATCGGATGTGCATCACTTTTACCCCATTGTGACTGGAACACACTGCAGACGTGTACATTATAAAGAAGACACTGTGTAAACGTGTGATGCGGGAAGATATACAGGTTTCTAAACCTTTCTGCAGGCGGAGACAATGGGCTGGGCTGCATGATCTTCAGTGCTCTCCCACCAAGGAATCCATGTTTCTGTGGATGACTTTGGACCTGTGCAAAGCCATCAGCATGCCTCCTCACTTTATCATTTCTCCACAGCTTATCACAAGACAATTTCATTTGCAGCTGGCCTGACTAGCATTGTACTTGCTTCTGAATCCTTGAAAATGTTTCATTTTCTCTTTCTTCAGTTGGTGATCTCATGTATATTCCTTTTAAGCACTTGTTGAGAAAGACGCCCCTACTACTCTCTTCAGAGATGAGAAAACAGAGTCCCAGAACAACAGAAAAACTTGCTCAAGGTCATTCGGCTACTGGGGATTAGGGCCTTATAAACCTTTTAAGTCATCTTAAAATATATGACAATGATTAGAAGGTGTTGGCCCTATATGTTTAAAAAAAAAAAAAAAACTAAAAAAATCTAAAATTTTCAAGACCAGAAATGCAGTAACATGGCTCTACCCATAGTCAAAGTCCCACACATACCTCGCTGAAAAGGCTCCCATTGACATAGGAAATCCAGAGTTTCCAGAAGTTAGGTAGCTGACTTAAAACAAGCTTGGTCAATTTTTCAACAAATGCCACCCTGTGGGGAGTTTTGTATCTCCATGCTAAGGGAGCAAAGAATAAAACATTATGAATATATTTTTGAATCAAGAATAAAAATCTATTTGAACATAGCCAGCTCTTGTGTGGTCTGGCCTGGCTTACTATCTAAACCTGTGTGCACGTACATTCTTTCTGTGCTTACACACTCCACCCATGCATACACGCTCTTCCTGTACACATACATTCCACCTGTGCACACACAACCTTCCCATGTGTATACAGTGGGACTTCAGTTCACAAACTCAATTCTTTCCATGTTTCTGGTTACAAAACAAACTGGGTGATATTACAACATTGAACCTAACCACTGACTTTGATTCAGTTCTTGTTCACTTGGTTTATGACTAATATCATGAAAAGAATCAATTTTGTGAACCAAAGTACCATGTACACTCTACCTGGACATAAACACTCTTCTACCCAGGTACACTACACAGGACACACAGACTCTTCCCCCACCTGAGTATATTTATACATTTTATAGATATACACATACAGTGTACAGAAAGGTCTCACAAAGTGCTCTTTCCTGAAGATTATTCCCAGTCTCCTCAAAATAGTGAAGGAATATTGCCCTTGCACTGACTTAAAAGACGAATTTCCCTTTTTAAAAACCATAAAATAATCAGAAAGTAAAATAAGCTTATTAAATCCATTAATAAGCATTTTAATTGACATAATCACATTAGAAAAGCTAAATGATTATAAATGAGTAAATCAATTCCAAAAGATTCCTTCATCTGAAACCTTTTATGGCAGGTTAATGGTTAATTATCTCGTCTGAGTTCACCACAGTGGGGACGTTCAGACAGCTCCCATGGTGGTGCTCAATCATCAAGGCTTTTGGAAAATAGCTGGGTTCCTGTGGCCTTCTGCCCAGTCAGAGAAAACACTCTTACTTTGGTACCGGGGATCAAACTCAGGTCCTTGTGCTTGCGAGGCAGATGCCGGAACCACTAAGCTAAATCCCTGGCAAGAGAACACTTTTTAAACATCTTATTTTATTTTTTTTAATCACCTGCAAATTCTTTTTAACATACATCTGTATGCAAGAGTCCTTCCCCATCGCTTCTAAGCCTACTTCATCCAAATTTTGATCATCATAACTAATAAATTTGGATTTTTGTTTCTTGATGAATGCTGTCTGTCCAAGCTGTTAGAGGCCAGCTGATATCTCACTGACAAAATAGTGTTCAGAGTAATTTTAAGAAGAAAAGAACTAAGAAGATACGGCGAAAATGTCCTTTTTTCCCCCGCACCAAAAAAGTCACCAAGTATATAGGCTTATGAATTCTGCTTCAATCCCAAAGTTGAGAATGAACCTATTGAACTTTATTCACGCCTATGGTCTACTGTGAGCAATCCTTCATAATGTTCCAATTGCAAGCAATGTCTTGGGGGAAATTAAAACTTGATTTATTTGACTTCCACTTCCAGCCCTGCTGGAGTAACATGAAGGACTGGAAAGCTGGAGGGGGAAACAAAACAAAAGAAACCTCTGGGCCACAAGTATTCTCAGACACTGGCAGCAGGCAGCACTGTCTGTGACCCGAGGAGGCCATCAACCACCCGGGCTTTCTGCCAGCAGTTTCTGGATGACAGAAGAAAAGGAGGAGCCTTTCTGAGCTGGAACGATGGAGATGGAAGTTCAGAGAGGCTGGGATGGCCGGATATGCAGGGAGGAGTTCAGGAAAGGGAAGTGATGTGGGGAAAAATGCTCCAGGCACAGGGGCCTATGAAGTCTTCGACAAGGACAAGGTCATGCGTATGTGGAGTGATACTTCACCATGCCAGGCAAAGACCAAACAGGGAACTGAGCTCCATGGCTCCCACAGGTCACACAGCACAGGCAGGCTTTCAGCTCTCCACACACAGGGACAACAGTCCTTGTCAAAGAATGTGGCCACTGGGCAGAGCCGAAGACCATGCGGTATGTGGTATGTGGGCTGAAGAGTCCCGACAATGAAGGCTTTTCTAGTCCTGCTCTAGCAAAGCTGAGCAGCAGGCCCAAAAGGGAGGACCGAGTTCGCCTTTACTAAACTGCTTTGCTAAAACAAAGGCTGGTACTCTTTAAAGGACAGCAAAACCTAGGCAGTCAACGTGAACACACTCGCAGTGTGTGAGAAACAATACCAAGTAGACACACCCAAAAGCAAAGAGACACAGCCATAGGCAGAAACCGGGCTATGACCATAACTGGAAATCAGAGGACAGCTGGTAAGAGCAGCACCAGTTACACCGCTATCCTGCAACTTTACAAGAGAAGTAGGGCATCTGAGGTTTCTGAGATCACCTGAGCACAGACACCACCAAGCGAGAGAGCAGTACTTACTGTCCTCGCGCCCGGACTGAAAGCTGCTGCCCCTCTTCAGCGAGGCTGTCTGGCCCACATGGCCCAGCACGGAGGGGCGCGCGTCACTCTCCAGGTCCAGCAGGGGACTGTGCAGGCCGGCGTTACCTGGAAGAGAGGCAGATTCCCAGCGCTCTGCGTCTCATGCTATTTCTTGCTCAACTGTTCTGCTTTCTTAAATAAGGCATTTAACAAGTGAAATTGAAGTACTTTCTCTGAAGTGCTTATAAAAATTATGCCCACTGTGGCAGACTGGGATGACTTCGTCCATCCGTCACTCTGCCTTCACATAGCTCTAACTTGGGAATGTACACAGCCAAAATAGGGGGTGGGCTGTGCTGCAATTAAAAACCAGAAGAAACTGCTTTTTGCAAAACAACTCTTTGGCACTTGTAAAGGAGACCATGGAAGTTGGCTGTCTCCCCTTCCTTCTCTTCTTTCTTTTTTTCTAGTACTAAGAATTAAACCCTAGGCCTTCACACCGAGTTACATCCTCAGCCCTTGTCATATTTTATTTTTAGACAGTGTCTAAGTTGTTAAGTTGTCCAGGCTGGGTTTGAACTTGAAATCCTCCTGTCTCAGCCTCCCAGAATGCTGGGGTGGTCACTGACACGCACAACCACACCTGGCTTCTTTTGCTTCTTTTCTTCCAGTGAATTCATCATATAAATTTACATAACACAAATCTGTCACCTCCTCTCATGTCACAATTCACATTTAAATCCCCAAATCTCCTTCTTCCTTTGGGATGTGGGAGCTGGTTCCTCATTTCTATTCCCAATATCAGCCTCCTAATTTGGATCCTTTAGACCCTACCCTGTTAATATTCCAGAGGCAGGAATATTCCTACTGCCCAGAAATTCTCCTTCCCTATTTAGATTAATCACACCCTAACATAATGTTTTTTTAAATTTTTTGGTTTTATTTTTGCAGTACTGGGGATGCGACTCAGGCTTCACAGTAAGCTATATCTCCAGATATTTTATTTTCTATTTTGGGACAAAGTCTCAGAAAGTCACTGCATTGCCGAGGATGAGCTTGAACTCAACAACCCAGAGTGCTGAGGTTACAGGTGCACACTGTCATGCCCAACTAAAAACTACGTTCTTGACTCTTTTATCAGAAATCTTGCCAAAAAAATGCTCGGGATAAAGGTTACACAGTGTTTCGCAACCCAAACTATCCTGAAACTCAGGAAAGAGTTTTTCCAGAATGCATCACAAAAGCTATTAAGAATGGCACCTTACATCAGGGACGCTCATCTTAAGTGGTAAAATTTTCTTTGTGGATCTGCAGATGAATCTCTGACTGCTGCTCTAAGCTCTTCTGAGGAGTATTTGGATTTTCAAAGCAGACAGATTTCAGTGAATGCTCACAGAACATGTCCCATGAAAAGGACACTATAATATTTTTCCTGTGGTGTTGTGTGTGCCCTATGACCCCAGCTACTTGGGAGACTGGGGCACAGTGGTCACTGGAGCCAGCAGTCGGGGAACAACCTGGGCAATGCAGACAGACCTGTTTTAAGCAATACCAAACAAACAAACAAACAAGAAAGTTTTAAATGTTTAGGGGTCCGAAGTGTAATTCACTGGTGAACAAGGCCCTGTGCTGGATCCTCAGCACTGCACTGCAAAAAGAGAAACAAGGGAAAAAGAAAAGCAGGGAAGGGATCAAAGGAGGGAGGGAAAAGTTTCAGGCCTTATTTACTTCTGCTCCCCCTAAAAAGCCATGCATCTTTCCTCTTTGTCCACTAAATTTCTACCTCCCGCCCCAAAGACTGAGTGTAACCTGCAGCTACTACTGCAAGTTGCCTCCCCCTCTGCCGTGGACTGCAGTCAGAGAGCGCAGGACCAAGGCCTGCCATGGACAGCCACACTCTGCCCAGCCCACTGGACCGCTGCCCCCACCTCCTAGGTCCCCACCATCCCTAGGCTGTCCACAAATGAACTCCTCAGCCTTGAGGACTAATTTCAAGTTAGACACTAAGAATTGTTTTTCTTATTTATAAATGGAATTTTAAAGCTTATGGATTTTTAATAATTCAATATTTTAATAAAACAACCCCCCTCTTCAATAAGAACATGAGATGATAATTATATGCTGCCGAGAGTGCCACCCAACAACATTTAACAGGCATTTGTTAAGAATCCCTTCATCCTTTGATCTTCCAATGTCCTCCTATGATGTAACTCGCTTCTCTACTTGACGGTATTAGCTGAGCGGCTATACTTGTAACCCTATAGGTCTGCAATCTGACCAGCACTGTGCTGATGCTGGGAGGCTGCTGTACAAATCACCACTGAGAAAGACCCCACTGGACAACCACACGGGGATGCCACCTAGAAATCCAGGAGCTCTTCCTCTTCCTCGTTTCCAAGAAAACTCTCACTTCCTCCCTTGACTGGCACCTTTATTCCTGCATGTTTCGAAGCCACAAGCTCAGCACGGGTGGCTCCCATCAGGTCAGGAGTTGTACCTCTGTGTCACCTCGCCCTGCAATGCTGTTCTACTGCACAAGGTATGGCGCCAGCTAATTGCTACCCAACAAGTTTCAGAGAAGCAGAAATGAAATTTGTAGGAGAGTTTAGTGGAACTCGCATGCTGACTACTGTGCTGATGCTGGAGATGCATTCCTACATCTAAGATAGGACTTACATAATCCAACATGTTAAAGCGAAAACATGACACTCAGTACACAGTGAAACAATGTACACAGAGAGAAAATAGTATTTTTGCAATTAACTTTTTCTTACATTTACATATGAAGCTTATGGGTAGAAATTTTAATACGTTATTACACTTTAAAGTTTGTGTAGGTGCCACTGTTACAAAGATTAGAATTCAGAAAACTAATATGAAAAATAGAAATTCTCTGACATGTGATACTTTAACAGGAGCCCTGCACACAGCCCTGACCACGTAGACTAGGCAGACGCTGCTCTCCCCAACACGCTGTTCCTTTCATCCAAAAGCAAAAATAAGAGTCCTATGGTGTGCTATTTTACCAGAAACGAGCAGAATTATACTTTGAAGATAAAACCAATGCAGACATTGTAAATATCACTTGTTACAGGGGGGAAACCCCTTGAGGATTCTGACATGCCTTTTAAACTCCAACTCCATGACTGGGTATTTCCCCCCTACAAAATTATTAACATGAGAAATGGTTTTGACAAGAAGTAAGCACTACTATAAGAGAACAAGAGTTAAGTTAAAAATACATGATTTCTGTAAAATATAAAACCAGCAAAGTCTTTAAAACATTTCACAAGAAATCAACCTGTTTTTCAGTGATTATTTTACTTTACCATATGACAGCAATGTGCATGACGTGTTTAAGAGAAAAACACATCGCACTAAGCTCACAGCTGAACAGGCGCACACAGTAAGCCAGGAGGGTGCGTCTGCCTTGTCCTGCGCCCCACACTCCCGCACCCTGCTGCCTGGCTTATCCAACCCGGAACCTTGAGCCCGGAGCCTGAGTGGCTGTGCACGTGCATGGGCGCAGCTGTACCCTGAGACACTAAAGTGCTCACCCACAGTGGAAGCTCTGCAGATGGCAACCAACGCCGTTCTGTCACAAAGCTGTGTTCATCCTTTTCAAACTACTACCAATTAACAGGAATTCCGAAAGGTCACTTGTTTTCTTAAAGCAAATTTTCTCTAGAAAGAAGTTCTTCCTGCAAGTTTTCTGCATGGACGTATTTTTTCCTGCAGCACTAATGATCATACCCAGAATATCCCACATGCTAGGTGAGCATCCTGCCACAATAGATAGAAATTTTTAAGAAGCTTTTGTCAAACAGTAAATTATTTTTAGTTATGATGAAAAGTTGTAACTTCATGCGCTCATTGCCCAACTAACGGTCCCTTGTGCCACTCGGGACGGAGAAGGCTCTGAAGGAGCCCTGCACCAGGCAGTTGCTGTGGGGCTCCGTGGCAGCTCTGAGCCACGGGGTGTTTGCAAAACTTTCCTGCAAAAATTAGTTCTTTAAATATGCAACCTGCAAAAATTTTTAGCTGGAAAATTTCGATTTTATGATCCAAAGTTTGAATATGAAATTTTAAACCACACAGAGGGAACAAAAGGGAAAACACGCTTGTCCTGGTTGCTGCTCCTCCACCTCAGGAGCAGAGAAGGCTGCCTCTGGAAGTACAGCAAATGAGAGGGTGGCGCTTACATGGAAACTACTTCACAAACACACGAAAGACAACAGAAATAATAAAACTTGTAGAATTTTTTATTATGGATGTCACAGCTTGCTACTCTAAAAACACTCAACACCTATAAATACACTCAATAAATGCTTATATTTCAAGTGGTGGTGAACCTATGGCACGTGTGTTGTTTTTCTTTTAAGACCAAAGATGTTAATGTATGAGTTGTTTTTTCTAAACTGAAACCTCAGTATTCAGGTTTAACTGTAGTGTTGGAACTTCATGATAAATAAGTGAGTTTTGGGTTCCGGTTTGGACACTCAGTAAAAGCATCACTGTCACTGGCTTATAAGATCAAAATTATTTCACTATCATCTGTCAGAGTTACCTGAGGAATAGCTGCAGGGCAATTGTTACTCTGGAGACAAATCTTTAAATAGGCACAAATCCTACAGCATGAGTAGTCATTACTACAGTATTTCTAGTTCTCAAATTCTAGACAGTATTTATAGGAGAAACAGTACCAACAATATTCTAGAAGTAAATATGCTCAGGTTTAGCTAAATCTTAACTTCCACAGGTATGTCTGAGTTATAATTTTGCCAATGTAAAAGATAAACTCTTCTCTACAAATGTAAAAAAGGAAAAAAAAATCCTCGTACGCACACTTAATACACATCTACTCGTAGGTCCTGACAGCTGTCAGTATCTTATTTACGCTGTTAAATACTTGCCATAACATGCTAACAACATTCTTGAAAGGAAGTCTCTAATTGTGAGTGTGCAGATATAGTTATAAATTATAAATGAACATAAAATTAGAAAATTGCTTTTGGAATGCTATATAAACAAGAGAAATTCTGTTTCAGTAAGAGAAAAACTGTTGAAAAATTTGTTTTTAAAAGTTGCAGAAGTTATTTTCTTCACAACACTAATGAAACAATCCT